TATGGTGGTGTTTGCGGTTAGCGGAAGGTTAAGCACTCCGTCATACATCGTGTTCCAGAGCAGAGGACCCAGGACGGAGCCCTGCGGGACTCCGGCTGAGACCTCATGCGTTCTGGAGCCCGAGGAGGTATCCAGGATGAGCGTCCTTTCGCTGAAATAGCTGCGGATGATCCTCAGTAGGTAACCGGGGATGTTGAAAGCTTCCAGGGCCTCCAGTGTCCGCCTCCAATCCGCAGAATTAAAAGCGTTTCGGATGTCCAGTGTTACCACTAGGCAGTACTCTTTGGCGCCATTTTTCCATCTTGTGCCTGCGATGGCGTTCGCGGCCAAGTTGGTGACCATTTCGATGGCGTCCAGAGTCGATTTACGTTTCCGAAAACCGAACTGTTTTGACGAGAGTCCGCCCGCGCGCTCTATTGCAGCCTCCAGCCTCGCGACGATCACCTTCTCGAAGACCTTCCCGATCGTGTCCAGCAGACAGATGGGTCTGTACGACGACGCCTCTCCCGCGGGCTTCCCCGGCTTCGGCAGAAGAAGGAGCTTCTGTCGCTTCCATCGCTCTGGGAACGTACCTTCCGCCAGGCACTTGTTAAAGATCTCGGCGATCACGTTGGGATGCAGGGAGAGCAGCATTTTGGTCGCCCTGTTAGGGATCGAGTCGGGACCCGGTGCCTTCTTGTTGTTTAGGGACCTAGCGGACAAAACAATTTCCTGCTCCGAGACCGGGCAAATCTCCAAGGACTCTCTGCTCACTGGGTAATGCAGCGGATGACCAACTGGAAAAAGCACCCGAACTATGCCTTCCAGGGCCTCCGGGTCCGATGGTGCTTTGCTGCCGGCGTTCACGCGCTTCACCACCTTTTTGTATGCCCCGCCCCATGGGTCATCCTCGACGTCATCGCAGAGCTTAAGGAAGCACTCTCTTTTGCTGGTCCTTATCGCCTTCTTCAGGGCAGCCCTTGCGATCTTATACGCCTCGCTACGGGCTGGAAGATCCGGGGAGCCGCGCGCTCTCTGGGCTTGCCTTCTAGCTCGGAGGCAAGATGAGCGTATGGTAGCTATGTCATCGTTCCACCAGTAGACAGGTTTGTGGTGCCTTCGGAACGTTTTCCGTTGCCGCATGCTTGCGTCACATGCACGCTCGACCGCTACCGCCAGCTTGAGCGCAGCGACATTGGCACTGTCCGCTTCGTCGGTGGCTAGGCCCGCTAAGGCACCCGAGAACGCTTGGGCGTTGAACGTGTCCTGCCGGTACGCCTTGTTTGCGCTAGGCGGAACCGATCTGCGGGGTGGGTTATCGCCGAGGGAAACGAGGATGGCCTCGTGGTCGCTGGCTGTGTAGATTTCGCTTATTCTCCACCTGGCTTGGCAGGCTAGTGCGCTGCTAGCGTAAGTAAGGTCGATTATGGACCCTGCTCCCGCCCTATTGAAGGTTTGCTGGGTACCCTCGTTGAGCAGAGCAATGTCCAGGGAAGCGAAAGCCTCCAGGATGGTGCGGCCTCGGGCGTTGGTTCCCACTCTCTAACCATTTGTGTGTGGGCGAAGCATTTTACGAGCGAGGGCCAGCTCTCGAATGCTAGTTATGTAATCTGCCCAAAATATTCCTCTGCAATTAAAAACATTTTCAAGTCATTTATTCACGCTCCGGGCCCCGGACTTTGTGGAGGGTTCGAAACATGAGAGTGAGGAAGGCTCGTAAAGACAGCGTTTGGGCAATGTCTGGCCAATTTTGAGGATTTGGGTTTACGCATTTATTGGAATTTTTATGGCCTACATTTATAGTCTCTGCAGAATAGAGAACCGAACGGGGAACCCAAACGGAGAATAGGTTTATGAATATTAAAAACAAATGAGTCTAGTTTATTCTAAGATAAGTCCCTGATCTTGACTCCTTATTAATTGAAGTCAACGCCAAAGGGCGTTCTCCAAATCGAGCAGACCCAAGCAAAATCAATTAAAGCGGAAACTTTCCCGCAAACAAATTTGGATTTGAAAGGCAGCCTCGAAATCAAAGCTATCCCTTGCACCTAGTTTGTTTCAAAATAATTTGCCTATAAAAACTAATCGAACTCGAAGCCGTCCCTAACTGGAATCCTTTTTGCTGGCGCAGCCAATCCTGGACCCCGCCACAACAGCGTCAACAGCAACCATTTCAAATTAATTAATAAAATTTTTGTTCCAAGTGGGGCCAGTTAGCAAACAAACATTCAACTGCAAATAAAGCCCGAAACCGGCCCAGGCCTTCCGGATTTGTAAAGACTTGGCTCGGAACGGAATGTTGGTCAAGAAGTTGCGTGCGGCCAGGCACGTGTGTGGTCCAAGTCACCCCCTTCCCAGTATCCCCTCTAACATTCACCCTCACCTCATAAACTGGTCGAAAGCCAAACCAAATAGCAAATACTTCAATAAACGAAATTAAATATTTGTGCATGGAATGAAACATTTTGCTCGGGGAGCGAGGGAACGGCGGACACAACAGGGGGAAATTGAAAAAGAATCGAACACTTTATGTCCCACATTGGCAACAAATTAAATAATTGCTGCGAAAGTTTGCTTTCTGAAATATATGAGCAAACAAACTCAAATAAACTATTGATTTTCATTCGAAACTTTTTCAGTAATGTTCGATTTTCTGGCCTTTGTTAAGTTGCTATGAATATTCGATTTATCCTAAGATCTGGCCACCCACTTGTTAAATATTTGGCTTGTAAAATTGTTTAACTTTTGACCCGAGCATATACATTTACCTTCTCGCCATCATTAGACGTTAATTGGGCAATTGTGCCATCACAGGGGTCCCTTCCAGAGATGAGCCCTTTGCTCGCGATTTTGGCAGAATTGCGCCTCGGGCCCGGAGCCAACACCTTTTTGATGTCCGTCCCCGGGCAAAAGGCGGCTGAATCAAACTAATTAGGCGCAAACTTAATTAATATTTGATGAATTATTTGACCTTTTGTCTGATTACGCTTCCAAAGGGCGGGCGACTCGTCCAAGAACTCGTCCTCCATGGGGCCCTCGACATTGGCCTGGCAACAGACAGAAATATAAAGATAACTTTTCGGGCTTTTCCGAAATTGAGCTTCATTCGGTTTGATAAACTTGTCGCTAGGCAGGTGCCACCACAAAAAGAGCAGGCCTGGTGCGTGCGGAGCGATTCAAATCATAAAATGGAGAGGTGGGTCGAGGCGCAAAAGTTTTTTTTAATGTTTATTGGCGAAACTTTTTCATTTTTTACAACTTTTTCAAAAGTTTTCTTGCTGATTCTCCGCCCAGCCTAGTGCCATTCTCGTTTCCCTTTGCAGCATAGGCCCATTTCTGGTCATTCTCAAGTTTAAATTATACCAAGAGCTCGGTCCAAGTATGAGTACCTGGAATCCCACGATTGTCAGCACATTAGGTCTGCCGGCCAAGAAAGCCTTACTTTGAATTAAACTTTTATCGCATCAATTCCAAGAGTTTTCCTCGTTTCCTTGGCAAAGTTTCTTTGTTGGATAATTTTTAAATTTTAATTCGTTTATTTAAATTGCTTCTAGCCCCAGAGATATTGTAAATAATCGTCATTGTACTCACCCAAATGAGAGTGAAAGTCACTTACCTGCAAGAGAAAGCAATCAAATTAGTTGGTAGTTTATAAACTCAAATGTGTGTAAAGTAAGTAAGCAAATGTGAAATATAAAGGTCACCATACCTATCATTACCATACCAAAATTGTTTATAGGATTTTGTTATACCCAACATATAATTACAAGGTCTATGTGTTTATATCTATAAAGATAATAAAAAATTACTGAATATAGAATAGGTTCTTAACTTATCTCAATGAATCATTTCACCCTATCATGTACAAAAATGGGAGACTTCAGCTACAGGACGACTTGGTGGTCTCATCCGCTGTCTCATCCGCTGCCGGGTGTCCAGTTCCCTTCAATGCCTCCTACTCAACAGCGGAAACAGCAGCAGATTCCCAGAGCGCTGGAGGTCGAGCTGGATGGCGATGACCCGGAATGTTGGGCGGGAAGAATCGGGGCACTAACTGCTGCAGCTGGCTGCTCTGCCGCCTTTAACTGGGTCGCCATCAGTCAAGGACTTAACCTTGCCGCAGCTACAAATACTGGGTCGTTGGGTTCAACTAATAAATATGCCACAGAACAGCAGACGCATAGATACCCAGCACGCTCACACAGCCGGGCTCACTTACACACTCGCACTCCAGGACATGTACAAATGAATCGCAGCTGAGGGCTGTCCAGGCATCGGAGAAATAAAACCATTAAATATTTGCGGTTAAACGCACCAAAAACAAACCGCAAAAGTAAATCATAGCCAAAGCAGGCGACGGACATGGCCGAGCATCGGAGGCAAGGAATTTCCTAGCAAGCCCGCCCGTTGCCCCGGCGCTCGTAGGCAAAAATATTAGATTAGAAATTAGGATAGCCATGGACATGGTCTTGTATTGGGTGAGAGTGTGGGTTGGGATTGGAATTGTGACTGGACAGGCAGCAGACCAGAACGCCATTTACTTGGAGGGGAGAGAACAGGAAACTGGTTACCAACGGGACTGCCAAAAATTCCAAATGGTCCATGGCCGAGGAGCATAAATCATTGGAACTGACATTTCACCATTTCACTGGATTTGTATATGTGTGCTGAGGCACGGTCTTGAAGGCGGAAGGAAAGTGTTCTGGCGGCTAAAGAAAATTTGAGTAAGATATTCGTCGATTGAGGCCGAGAAACAGTGGAGTCCCCCAGCGCGAGCTATTAGTTTCGCTGAACTAGTTCCCCGATGAGCCAATCATGGTAGCAGACTAACCCCACTTTTCTGGCCCAGAAACCCACATAAATCATTTTGAAATTGAATCGCCCGTTCGTCCGGCCAGATTCCTGACGGACTCCACAAAAACTCGGTGGCCGGCCTCATATAGGGGTGGAATCGCGTTTGGTTCCATTTCTATTTCAGATTTGACTGCCAACCGAGGTGTGCAATCGTTCAAGTGGGCTAAGGGAACTTCAGTCGATTTAAAGCTCTCACCCGCTGTCAGTGCTGGATCCAAAATTTGAAGTTTTTCAAACACTTATCAGTAACTCCGAACCCTTTTAATCGGAACACACCCCAAAAGGTAGAAATGTCGCTATTGAAGGTGCTGCGAGCTACCGACCTCATACGGAGCCACTCCGCCCTCCGCTGGTGCCGCCACACAGGCTCTTTTCCGCGTTACGACTACGACCTGGTGGTTCTCGGAGGTGGCTCGGCTGGCCTGGCGTGCGCTAAGGAGGCGGTGGACTGCGGAGCTCGCGTGCTCTGCTTCGACTACGTGAAGCCCACGCCGGTCGGTACAAAGTGGGGTATCGGCGGCACCTGCGTGAACGTGGGCTGCATCCCCAAGAAACTGATGCACCAGGCATCGCTGCTGGGCGAGGCGGTGCACGAGGCAGTGGCCTACGGCTGGAACGTGGATGACCGGAACCTCCGACCCGACTGGCGCAAGCTGGTGCGCTCCGTGCAGAACCACATCAAGTCGGTGAACTGGGTGACGCGCGTGGACCTGCGCGATAAAAAGGTGGAGTACGTCAACTCTATGGGCGCCTTTGTCGACAGCCACACCATTATGTACTACCCAAAGCCAGGCCAAGAAGGCGACAGGCGACAGGTGACCGCCAAGTACGTGGTGGTGGCAGTGGGAGGGAGGCCGCGCTACCCTGACATTCCCGGAGCCATGGAGCTGGGCATAACGAGTGACGACATCTTTAGCTACGAGCGGGAGCCGGGGCGCACGCTCGTGGTGGGCGCCGGATACGTCGGCCTGGAGTGCGCCTGCTTCCTCAAGGGCCTCGGCTACGATCCCACAGTGATGGTGCGCTCGATCGTGTTGCGCGGCTTTGATCGGCAGATGTCTGAGCTCCTGGCCGCCATGATGTCTGAGCGCGGCGTTAGCTTCTTGAACACCACCGTTCCCAGCTCAGTGGAGCGGCAGTCGGATGGGCGGCTGCTGGTAAGGTACCTAAACACCACGACGCAGACCGTCGGCAGCGATGTCTTCGACACAGTGTTGTGGGCCATCGGACGACGGGGTCTGATCGACGACCTCAACCTAGGGGCCGCCGGAGTGAAGACTCTGAACGACAAGATCGTGGTGGACGCCTCGGAGGCCACCAATGTACCACACATCTTCGCCGTGGGCGACATCATTCACGGGCGACCAGAGCTCACACCAGTGGCCATCCTGTCGGGCCGTCTTCTCGCCAGACGCCTATTCGCCGGCTCCACGCAGAGGATGGACTACGCAGACGTGGCCACGACGGTGTTCACTCCTCTGGAGTACTCCTGCGTCGGTATGTCCGAGGAGTCTGCCATCGAACTACACGGCGCAGACAACATCGAGGTTTTCCATGGCTACTACAAGCCCACTGAGTTCTTCATCCCCCAAAAGAGCGTACGCCACTGCTATCTAAAGGCGGTAGCGGAGATGGCAGGAGACCAGAGGATCCTGGGTCTCCACTATATCGGCCCAGTGGCCGGCGAAGTGATCCAGGGCTTCGCCGCGGCGCTCAAGTCGGGCCTGACAGTGAAGACCTTGCTGAACACGGTGGGAATCCACCCGACAACAGCCGAGGAATTCACGCGACTCTCGATCACCAAGCGCTCGGGTCGCGACCCCACACCCGCCTCTTGCTGTAGCTAGGAGCTACTTACATACATGTGTAATGTTTGTAAGTACATTGTGGATCGACATTGAAAATATAGCAGATCGGTTCAATAATCAATTAATACCGTTTACATTTAATTTTTTTTTTCAATTCTCGAAAATTCTCAAAATTCTTAAAAATGATTGAGATTTGGTCATTTTTAATTTCTTAACGAGCCAAGTTAAACTATTATAAATTTATTGATAAGTGCTGTCAAGGCGAAGCCCATAATATGGGATTTAACCCACAAAGGCCATTTTAATGCCATATTTATTAACACATTTGTTTAGAAATCTAGTGAGACCATGGTCATGGTTTTTGCTTAATTTCTTTGGTCACACTGGTTATCGAGCAAAATATATAGCGGTTGTGCTATAACAATTGTTACAGCTGATTTTCGTCGTCTCAGTACTAGTGAAACATGAAGCTGTCAGATGTTTTTTCAAAAGCGAAAATAAAATATAATTTGCTTTGAAAAAAACCATATTGCCCGCTAGCCACTAGTTTTCAATTTATCCCGGATTTTGCGTTAGAAAACAGCCAGATATAGCGGAAAAAGTCTAAAACGGCAACGCTTGTAATAAGCCTGATTAGGCTATTAAAAGTAAAAACTTTCAGATTCAATTTATTTGCGTGGCGCCTTTATTTGCAGTCAATCCGGAAGTGCCTATTCTTAGGGATGGTATTTCTAATACATACATGTCGATAGTTCTTATTCTATATTAAACAAAATAGCTTGTTTGCACTATTATTACAACGCTGGTCTCTTTTCAGCAAGGTGGACCTGGCAAAAAATCGATGTTTTCCACTATCGATTTTTCAATGTGTTTACGAGCGAAACATCGATAGTATCGATTATATATATATATATATAGATATAGATATATATATATCAAATCATTTTAATCAGGGACCGTAATCATTATAAGTAATATTTTAAAAAATTACTTTGTAATGATTACTTATCGATTTTTAGTTTTTTAAATCAAGTCTAATAATTATTTTTGAGCAAAAAAAAAAGTAAAAATCACAAATAATCATCATTGAGCTTGAGCAAAAAAAAATAGAGCTCAAAAATAATGATTATTCGGGATTTATATTCTTTTTTGTTCAAAATAAAACTCACCTTATATTAAATAATTGCAACAAACACAGGTAAAATACATTTTGTTGTTGTTGTTGTCAATTGTTGCTCTAGGGTCCCTTTATAAGGACATAGGGCAATATTGGCAATATCCTTAAAGGATCAAAAGTTGTGGCTTGGGGAGTTTTATTTTGAACAAAAAAAAAATAAAAATCACGAATAATCATTATTTTTGAATTTTAATTTTTTTGCTCAAGCATAATGATTATTTGTGATTTTTATTTTTTTTGCTCAAAAATAATGTTTAACAATAGAAGAATTTATATAACAATTAAAAATTAAAAATCATCAAGGATATTCATAGTGTATCCTTAAAGGATAAAAACGTGCTAGTCATGCTTGTCCTATGTTGATTGGAAGTGATTGATTTACTCATTTAAAAATAGGGACAATAATCATCATCCCTGATTTTAATAGTTTAATTCTCTATTTTATGACAACAAATCGTCTGCCTTATTTAATTATTTTAATGGTAAAAAGCTCGAGTTTGTTTGAACATTTTCAATATCCGGATTTTCCTACTTTTTGGAGGCTCCCTTCTTCGTCCGAATTGGTGTGGTTTTCTGCAAGCACACACATTTATTCACAAAAGTAAATTTGCTGGTTCTAGACAAAAGTAGTAAAATTTTATAACCCTTTGCTTTTTTCACAAAATAAGAATTTCGCTAATATATAAAGAAATTCATTTCAATTTTTGGTTTAATTTAAAGACTTTTACGCCAAAAAATATCGATAGTGTAAAAACACAAAATCGATGTTTTGAAAAAAAAAAATGTCAAACATCGATAGTATCGATAGTGCTCTGATGTTTTGCGAGCACTACTGCAAGGCGTGCTCGGGTTCAATTATTAGTTCCCGAACTTTCTGTCGAAGCTATTCGTTTTTGAAAGGCATTTTGGTTAGTGCTTATTATACTTAACTTTTTACTGTTAAGTAAAAGTGCAATTCCAGATTTCTTCTGTCTGACTCTTATTGTCAGCACAGTTTATGCAACTAGCGTTGCTTTTACCACCAGCATTGAGGAGCGGCGCGATGCCCCGCGGCCATTCAGTGAAGCTGCCTCAAAATGATCAATTGTGTTTTTACTTGACGATTAGTAGATGGGACTTGATTACTCGTTAATTTGTTTTAGGCTGTGGAAGACTGTATACACTATTTTACTCCATTGAAATTAAGATTGTCAGCTTGCAATCAGTCATCAGGCCTGCTGACGGCGATGGATTCCTGGTAAGTACGGCATAGAAATTCCACAGTCGTTTAATTTTATAAATTACGCTCATTTATAATCGCATTAGCTGAAGCTAAAATATAATCATAATCATAAAATAATTATCGTAAAAAAAATTTATTAACCAAAATGTATTGGATATTAATCCAATTAATCCACAAATTATTCGACACATGACAACGTCAACTGTGCAATATCTTATTAAATAGCGCCTAGGAAGGAATGTAGATAAATATTCTGTCACTTGGGTTCTTGGCTGAGTTCTGGTTAAGAATTTTGAGTGCGAGCACTGGTCCCACACATTCCCAAAAGACTCTGAACTGCATATTCTTAAGGACATTTCTGAAATTTGATAGTTGAATATAAATGATTCCAAAGAGCGCTGGGCGCTCGGGTCCTCAGACGTTGCCATTTCTGACGTATGAAGCTTTAATTTATGAAGTTCGTGGTGAAAAACACTTTCTACGCCTTTCGGAGGTGGCCTGTGTTTCCGTTTCCGATTTCGGTGTCGTATCGGTGACCCAGAATCTAGCGAGTGGCGCCAGAAGCTAGGCCACTCCCACACACACCAAGCCTGCACGTGGCACAGGGCAACAACAAGCAACAAAGGATAAAAAATTTGATTAATGTTTACTTCCGATTTGCATAAATCTTACTTTAGCGTTTTTGGGACCGCTCCGGCAGCCTCTTTCTCCTGGCCGCTTTGTTATAAATTATTTTTTTATTGCAGCCTCCCGAATGCTCGTCCTCGGGGGACCGTATGCTCCCCGGCTAAATTGCTTGCTTCGGCGTTATTTATTCGTTTGTTTGTGCCGGTCATCGTAGTGGACACGTCCAGGTGGACTGGGAACCAGGTCAAGGCGGTGCATCTGCCGAGATCTCTCGCGGCAGCTCCCAGAGTGTACGCCGTAACTTTTCGATTAGCTTTGCCAACTCATTTAACAAATGGTCTGGCTGACAGTAAGAAAATATAACAAATTTACCCCAGCAATCGCAGCAGAGGGCGGCGGGCGCTCGTGTTCGTACTTTCATTGCAACACCTTAGAATCATAAATTGTGACCTGACCGCCCAGTGGCAGCTGGGTGCAGGCAAAGTTTTGCTCATCCGAAAGTTCGGCTGTAAGTTAAAGCCCCCGCGGGTAATTCGATAAAGCGTAAAATTTTGCACTTAAACTATTTTCTTCTGCTGCTGTTCCGCCGTCTGCCACCTGCAACGGGCATTTGGCAGTTGCATTGTTGCTCCCCTTATTATTGTTCTCCGGTTTTCGGTTGTTGTCAGCTTGACCTGCTCGGGCCAGTCTTGAATTACAGCACCGGCGAAGCGCGTAAAGTTTCCTCTGATTGCGGCTGAGTCAGAAGTCGCTGCTCGATTGAGAGCTTTCGAGTTTCGAGGCAACACAGAAATTGTTTTGGCACTGCATTCTAGAGGTCGGACAGTTGGACCATCGGAGGCAGCCAGGCTGTTGCGGGGGTGTTATGAGGGGCCATAGAAACCCAGGTCCTCAGCCATACCTCTCCACAGTACACAAGAGCGCACAAATGGTCTGCAAGACAGAGCCATTGGCGGGAGAACAAAAGGCCCCCGTCAACTGCCTCAACAGACTCCAGTAAATTAAAAATATGATTTAAATTAATCCTCGTTAAGGGCACTTGTGACCCGCTTTTACTGCGCCAGAAATGCTGTCGTTCCCACCGACGCATTACAAACAATTCCACTTTGGGCTCGCAACCACAGCAACTTGTGGCTACAAGGATGCCAGGCGCCCAGGGGCGAGCACACACACGAACACAAACCCCTTCGAGGGGGAGTCTTAAGTCTTGTTTAGCAATTTAGAATTTTTAAATCCTATTAAAATTTGCAATCACTGTTTGATTTGCTCTCCCAGCCCATGCAGGACGAGGGAAATCTGAGAAATCGGACCTGGACACGTTCCACGCATAGCCCGAATCAAAGGGCCTTCAATGATTCAATAGTTTAATTCCGAATTTCCATGCAAATAAACAAATATCCATTGGAGAAGGAGACCGAGGCAGAGACAGAGACACAGACAGAGACAGGAATGGCTTTCTATTTAGTTTAGTTATTAAACGTATCCATTTCCATTTGCCAAATTACGCCACAATTGTTGTTCGGTCTGTCCATCTATTTGTCAGTCAGCCCTGTTTGTCGATTCGCATTGTTGGGCTTTGTATGGGCTGCCTCCGCATCTGCCGAGATCCAACTTTATCTGCATCTGCATCTGAGGCTCCATCTGCATCTGTATCTGCATCCTGCATGTGTAATTACGTAAAAGTTGATAATGTGTTGATTATTTGAGGTATTTATGTAATTTTCAAGTTCCTTTAGCGCCCGTTGCTCATGTTTAATTGCAATTATTTAATTACATTTGCAGCTTTAACTTTGGCATGTGTCTATTGAGTTTTGCGGTCATTTCAGTCTCGGAACCAAGGGAAAAAAGCAGGCGTAACTCAAAGGAAAGCCGAATTTCAGCTTGTGTTGATTGCATTACAAAGAAGCCTCCAGTCTGGGCTCCTCTCTCCCAGGCTGCCAGACACTTGACGATAATTTTATATGAAATCTTCATTCAATTACTCGAGTAATTCAAATTAAAATGCTTATCGATTGCGATGGACATTAATTGATTACTTTTGGCCATTTAGGAGTGCTTCCTTTCATCCAGGACTTTCTTTAGATTGCAGGATCTC